ACACACACACACACACACACACACACACACACACACACACACACACACACGGACTAAAGCTGGTGGCCCGGGATTCATTTTGGACAGACAGCTTCCTCTTCTTCCTCCCAAGCTCTGGGTCCCTAAGGCCAAAAGGTTTCAGCACATGCCCCTCTCGCATACCAGAGGGTGAGATACACACACACCCCACTGCAATTCCACCGAAGCGCTCATCTCCTGGAACTTTCTCTCCCTGAACTTGGGGCCCTAGGTGGCAGCACAGGGAGGGCTGAGCTTTGTTTCTCCCACTGTCATGCCCTGCGGGACAGGCTGCAGGCTTGTCTCTCCACCCAGTGCTGGCAGCAAAGTCCTCTGTTGCCACCCTGCCACCCACGCCCCCATCCCTGCACAGCTCTTCAGGGACCCTGCGCGAGGTCATGGGATTTCTCCCCTTGTCAGTTTGCAATGAAAACATCATGCGTTCAGGAGTGCAGGGAAGAGGCCTGCACCCCAATCAGTGACTGCAGCCCAGAGCTGGGGAGCTATAGGGACCACTAGCTGGAAAGCTGCAGGCAGCTTCCTCACACCCACCCTGCGCCCACTGCCCTCAGAGACTGCCTGAGGGGAACGATCTGTCCCAGCAGGTAGTGAGGCCTGTTCCCTCCCCATCTCCCTCTTCTGAGTGAACCTGGGTGACTCCTCTTCTCTGAGAGCCACCACCGGCACTCTGCATAGTGTCTAAATGACCCCCCCCACCTCACCCCACCATCAAAATCACCTGGGGGGCTTTCGAAGAGGCAGACCCGGGCCACATCCCTCCACACTTCTGAGAATCTGGTGAGGCCTGGGGATCTGCATCTGTAACGAGTCTGCAGGTGATTCTGACAAACAGCCGATGGTAAAACAGAAGAGTGGCCGGGGATGCAGGCGTTGGCCTCAGTTGAATCCTAGCTCCAAATCCAGCCTGCTCAGGGTCCTGGAGCAAGTTATAAATGCTCTCCAGTGTGCTCAGCAGTGAAACAGAGATGACAGTGACAGTATGTAAGTCATAAAGTGCATCGTTTAGTGCCAACTAAACGATGTCAGGTGCTTAGCAGTGTCAGGCACATACACCCGTCAGTAAATTCGTCCTGTCCTGACACCGAGACCCTCAACAAGCCTCTCAGCTTCTGGGAGCATAGAGAAGCAGCCGCCTTTCTTCTCTAGCAGCTGGGGAGGGGGCAACACTGGTCTTAAAGGCACAGTGGGGCCCCTAGGTGCCCGGGATGTTGTGGGTCCCCTGGGCTGAAGGCACAGTACAGGAGCTGAAGTCCCAGGCACAGCATCTGCAGAGGAGGAGCAGGGGCTGGGGCGGTCTCCGCTCTCCATGCCCTCGGTTCATCTCTCACCCACCACGCCAAGGGCGATCCCTGAGGCTCCAAGAGGCAGGAGGGATGCAGGTCATCATCCCTCCTAAGAGATGAGAAACAGGCTCGAGTGGCCAAGGTCATGGACCCACAAAGCGGAGCCGGGCCTGTAAAGAGACAGGCTTCCTCTGGGGTCCAGCTGGCCAGGGTGGGGGTCACGCCAGTCAGGCGTGTGAGGGCAGAGGCTCTGCCCACCACACCAAGGCCTCTTCCTCCATTCACAAAGCAAGAGTCCCCAGTGAGGGAGTCCAACCCCTGCCTCTGCCAAAAGGCAGAGTTCTGGCAGTCCAGGAGCTGGAGCTGGAACAGACAGTCACACCAGCAGCTCTGCTCACCAGGTAGGCCCAACCAGGGAGTCAAAATAACTCTTCAGGGGGGAGGGGCTACCCTATCCAGTCCCAGAGAGCAGCAGAGGCCTGGGGGGATCCAGCTGTGGCTCAGATGGGGGCGGCATCTCTCCCAGAGGCAGCCAGGCTGTAAATCCAACCTGACACACACACAGAGCTTCACGGATTAGCCCTGGAGATTAGCAGAAACCTCCCCAGAAATCTGCCCTCAAGGCGGCCCAGGCTGGGGGGTCCTGTCACACAGCGGGTGGGGTGGGGCAAAGGGTGGGTAGAGGAGGAGAGCTCACCCCCCTCAGCGAATAGGACACCCACTGGCCCAAGGTGGCCCTCGGCCTCACTGAGAGGCCCATCAAGGTCTGCATGAGGCCACCAGAGTAAAGAACCTCTCTACCTGCTCAGAACACACTGGCACCAGAATTTCTGTGTATGCAGGTAAAAGCCTCACTGAGGGGCATTCAAACAGGAGGCAAAAATGCTTATGGCTTATACAGGCTGCACACCCCAGGGGCACCTTCCCCGCCCAGAGCAGGCAGGCCCAGCACACTTTCAGACGCTGGACTTCGAAAAGTGGGGCAGAGCAGAGGTTGGCCAACTCTGCCAGAGCCCGAGGGGTACAAGGAAGGTGGGTGAAGGAGCCTGAGGTGGCCCCTGGGCCCCCAGCCCAATTGAACCAGAGCAGCTCTGCTGAGGTCATGTCCTGTGTGTTGGAATTCAGTCAACAAACAGGACAAGACATAGCTCCTTCCTCGAACAACTCACCTGGAGCTCCCAACCCTTTCCCTTCGGCTGGCTGACAAGTCTCTGTGGAGGTTCCTTAGCCTGTGTGGTCACTGCTGCCCAGGGTTCCTCCTGCTTCCCAGGGCCTGCCAAGAAGTAAGGCAAGGCTCGTCTCCTTTCTCAGGGACTAGTCAGGAGCAGGGAGAAAAGCTCTGCCCCCACTCCCTTGCTTTCTTTAAAGGACCCTCCATTCTCCTCAAAGGTCTTGGGTTTTGGGAATGGAAACTGAATTCTAGAAAAAGACACAGTCCTCAGCCCTGAACTTGTGGATTCAGATTCATATCCCTCAAAGGTATTTATATATTGGGCATCCACTTAAGATTTATTTCTTCAGAGAGTCCCATAGCTTTGCAAGGGGGAAAAGAAGGTAAAACCCAGCCAGAGACACAAACTGAGGGGGCAGTTTCAGGGGAGAGAGATGATGGGCAGGAACATCCCTTTCTTTCCTGGCAGCTGCTGGGTGAGGTGAGCAGAGGTGCCAGGGCAGGAGATGCACAGGGAACAGCCAGACACCAGCCAGGGCTGGGTACCACCTCCCCTTGTCCAGGACCTGGAGGAGCTGCTGGGAGTCAGACCCTCCCTTCCCTGTCTGTGACCACCCCCAATCAAGGGACCAGCACCCCCTCTCTGTATGGCCATCATAAAGGGAACAGGTTCTAACCACCGCTAGGAAATAGACACAGAAAACGCTGAAAAAGGAGTCCTGTTTCAACACCACAAAGCTCCCCAGGAATGTCTGTGATGAAGGCCACCAGCCCCCTCAAGGGCAGCAGTGGGGACAGGGGCCTGGAGGAAACAGTTCTGTTCTGGGAAGCACAGCAAGCAGATTGTCAAAGTAGGAATAGAATCCATCTCAGTCTCTCTCCCCATTGTCGCAGTCATACATCCCATGATTGCTCTCCCAGCTCTGGCCTTGGAGAATCACCCCCAAAACATGCCTTTCTCCCCCAAACTGCCAAACCCCAAAGGATCCTAAAAAGAGGGTGAGAGATCTGGTCTCTGGGCAGGGGAGTCATCAAGCTCACCACCCAGCTTCTCTCTGACCTTTCACACTCAGCCAATTTTGGGCCCAGGGCCCTCAGCCACCCAATGCCATCCCCATCCCCCTGCCCGGGCCTCCATGCAGATCAGGGCTCACCAGCCAAAACTCAAAGCCTCCTCTCACAGAAAGCAGGCACTCTCACCCCACATGCACTGGGTAGTCAGCGCCAAGACTCCGCTTTCTGTGGGGAGTGTGCCGCAGTCAGAGGCTATGAGGGCCTCAGGAGGGCTAAGAAGCCTCTGGGCAGAGCCCCTGGACAAGGGAGAGCTGCACTCTGGCTGTCCTGACCCCCCAGCTCATCAGTCATCCTGGCCAGCATTTCAGAGTGAGCCTAGAAGTTATCTAAGCATCAGACAAGAGACCCAACCCAGGCTTTACCTGGACCCCTCCCAGGTCCTAAAGTTATGAACCACCCTCCAAGGCCAAATGCCCACTTCTACCCTGTTCCCCAATCCCAACCATGCCCATGGTGAACCATGTCTTCCAGATCTATGTACAGCTGTACTATTATTTATTAATGTCTCTACATGGACTCATGTTTACTTAAATTTATTTATTGAAAACACCACCACAATTAAGAGGATGCCAGTACCACCTGTCATAAATACAAGGTAGCCAATAAAAATATACCGTTAAAACAAACAGGGCTATAAAAGTCTGGAAATTTTTCCCACCTGCCCTAAGCCCAAGGCCTATTCCCTAGTAACAAGGGAAGTCAGCATGTGTTCCAGAGGCATGAGAACATGTTGGCTCCAAGCTGAAACTGTCTTCTTGGCATAAAAGGACTGTAAGAGAATGGGAAGGGAATCCCTTTCTTGCTCTTTGTGCTTAATGCAGGCCAATACTACATAAAAACATCTCAAGGGAATTAGGGTATCCACCTGATATTTTGGGACTGCTGCACTAGAGGTTCCCTCTGCATCATGCTTAACACAATGTGGAGTGTTCTCTGAGCACACCTTCAAGACCACTAGATCCCCTCCCCACGTGCCTGCTTTACGCCAAGGCCTAGCAACTCCCTCTCCCTACACCTGCCCCCCCAGCAGACGTCACCGCTGACTCAGGTGGGACACCAGGTAGACGAGGCCCACCAGAAGGAGTCCACGCACGCCGAGCATCATGAGCAGGAAAAGGAGCAGGATGGAGGTCACGGGCTCCACAGCATGGTTGCCAAGATGCCACTGGGGGAAGCCCATGTTCACCAGCTGCCGGTTGAGGTCATTGAAGGGGGACTGAGCAGCACCTAGCCTGGCTCCCCCCTGCTGCTGCCGGAGGCCAGGACCCCCCAGGGGGGCACCAGGGCCCCTATTGAGAAAGCTCTGGAAGGTGAAGAGAGAGAAAAATGAATGAATCCCAAGAAAGCTTCCCTGGAGGTGAGGTACCAGGCAGAAGGGAACCCTGTGGGCTGGGCCCTGCCCTCCCCTACAGTTACCAGGACCACACCCTCCTTTCTCAGCAATCCCCAGATGCCACCCACAGGAATTCCAGCTACTGAGTCACAAGCTCTCAGCACAGGAACAACCAGGCTGCATTCCCCATGTGGTGCCAGGAAGAATGTGCCCAGAGAAAGGGGTTAAGGCAGGTTAGACTACTGGGCAGAGCACTCAGGCAGGCATTTTTAACACTTGTCACTCTTTCCTTTGAAATCAACATTGTGTGGCTGGGGGCTCATCTCCTCCGCTTACTCTCCAGCTTCTCTCATCCAACAAACTCTTAAAAGAAAGACAATGGCTCCAGTGGAGTTTGCTAACCAGGTTAAAGGAAGGAGAGCTCTTGAGTTTGAAGTCTGGGAAGGCTGCCCGAAGGAGAAAGAGCTAGGCAGGCAAGGGGCTGGGCAATAAGTTTACTGTGGGTTTTCCCCAAGTTTTGACACCCTACCCCTCTCCAACCTAGCTCTCCACAAAGAGAACTTCAGGTTAGAGGTTACTGGTCAATAAGATAGCTTCTGGGACCTAATGAATAACTGGTCCAGAGGACAGTGGACAGCTGCTCCCCTTCCATGGGGGCTAGGCACCCACCTGTCGAGTGGTGCTACTGCGTGGTGAGGTAGTGGTCCTCACTCGTGGGTCATCATCCTGCACGATTTCCCCATTGGCCAAGATCCGCACCATCCTCCCAGGAGCTCTGGGTCCCTGCTGGGCCACACCTTTCCTCAGACCTCAAAAAGGCTGGGGGGAAAAAACAAAACACCAATTTACCAGAGATAAAGAGATGCCTGCTTTCAATGGGAAAAACTGCAATTCTAGATGCTCACATTGGTGACTCATGCTCAGCAGGCACTGTGTCTGATTAATAAAAAGGAGAGAAATAAATGCAAGTTGTTTGCCAGACAGAAAGCTTTCAGACATGGAGTCCACTGGGGAACTATCAAAAGGATCCTTGGCGAGGAGGTTTTATTATTAACCACGACCAGCAACAATAGGGACAAGAACCCTTGCTGTGGCCCAGACACTGTGGAAAGTCCACGAAGGCTCATCTCACACCTCCCAACACTCCTCTAGTGCAACTAGCGTGCCCAGGAGCATTCATCTATGGGCAGCAGAGAAAGAACTTGAAGACCTTCTCTGGGTACTAAATAGCCAGTCCCAGGCCCCAAGGTCCCCAGATTCTCAAATTCCTTCTGTTAAAAAACACACAACACTACAAAAACAAAATGGGTCCAGTGTGCTATTCCCTAGGGAGTAAATGCCAAAGACCTGAGCTTTCCTTCCCCCAGGAGATCCCGGCTCATTTCAGAGCCACTTTAGACCCACTGCCTGGCAGCAGAGGGCACTGGTGGGCACCCAGAGCAGGGCAGAGGCGCAGACCTGCAGAGGGCAGCCCCACACCTGTCCCGCACCGCAGGGGCACCAGTCCCTCCTTGCTAACAGGAGGGCAGGGCCAGCCTTCCCAAAATGGGATGGGGGATGCTTCTGTGGCTCTGGGAGAGCCCCGCTCCGCAGACCCCAGGGGTGTCCAAGGGCTGGCGGTGGGGGTGGGGACCTTCCATGCGTCTCCCGAGTCTGCGTAAAGGCCATTTTTTTTCCTCTGGAGACGAGCCACAGTTCTCATTTAAATTCTCAAAAGCGCTGTGACACACACGCCCAAAGGGGCTAAGAGCCCCCATCGCTTGCCCGTGGCTTGGAGCCGGCTGGCCCCTGCAGAAGGCCAAGCGGGTCGTGGTCCCGCGCAGCCCCTCGGTGCTTGGTCACCCGACCCCCGCGGGGGCTGTGGGCGCCGCGGGCCCTCGGTGCACCTGACCCTACCGATGGGGGAAGTGGGGTGCTCCCGGGGCAGGAGGGGCCCCCCCGGGCCGCCGAGCCCAGCTCTGACACCGGGCCCGCGGGAGGGGAAGGGTGCGCCCCGCCCCCCGG